AATTGTAATATATAGATGTAATACCTGAAGAGAATTTAGTTTTTATTTGTATAAACTTAAGCCAATTCTTCTCTGCATTTTAGTGCAGTCAATGCTTTGGTACCTGGAAGCCGACAAACAGTTTTATCACTAATCCAATCAGATGGAATTACTTCTTCTTGTAAATCTTCATTCCAAACAGCTCCTTTCCGCATATTCGATATTGAAAAAATTACATGAACTAATATAAAATGAAGAAACCATAATATAGGTAGTAATATAGGTAAACCGTAATAACAGGCCTAATTAAACTATCTAAATTTGAACATTTTATAACCATGATACTTGCTAAACAATAATATTAGTAGACATTATAAGCAAAGATAAGATTTTCTTTATTTTATAAATTTATTATATTTCAAACTCATTTTTATTAATTTATTTATTACTCTATTATTCAGCAGAGTTCTGAATATATTATGTTCAAATAACTAAAGGCTCAATAACAAAGACAAATAATGAAAGAATACTAGGTTGCTAAAACATAAACATCTACATAAGATAATTATGGAATATTGAAAAAAAATAGAAATACAAAAAAAACAAAAATACTCATTATTAATATAAAATATAATAGTATAATATAAGGTATATTATAATATATGACACAATAATATCTACTTTTAATTGAAATATAAAAACAAAAAAAATTAAAAAATAAAATATTTTGATAAATAATAAATTATCATTCAAACAATTTTCAAGACCAAAAAATAACTTGTAACTTATTTTTTTACTTATCTTCATCTAATAAACATTACTTATTTTTTACTCATCTTCATCTAATAAACATTAATATTAATACCAATTTTAAACATTATTACAATTTTTTTTTTTATTAAAAAATAAAAATATTACATTAGTTACTTTTTGGGCTTTTCTTGTTTTACTTAAAACATCAACTCAATTCTAGGCTTTTTTCATAATTGAGTTTTAATTTGTAATGTTGAATTAACACTGAAAAAAAAATATTAGCAGACAAAAAGAAAATATTTCTTTATTGAAATATATGTAAATATTTCAATAAAGAAATTTTAGATTGATTTTTATAAATATAAATTTATATCAACCAATCTAAATTTTTTTCTTTTCCCCCACCTTTTCGAAATAAAGCGCATTTTTAGAAGTTAGACAAAATGCCATCAATTAAAGTTTCAGTCGCTCCATGGTATTTAATAGAAGAAGCTGTTAATAAAAAAGAATTAGAAAAAAAAAAAAAAAAAACACAAGGAGAAACTTTTGAATATATAAAAAATGAGAATAAAAAAGTTTTACATATCTTATAAAGGTATACCTTTCACTTTGTTTTCAAATTGTTGGAAAATATTCTAAATTTTAATAGATAAGAGAACTGATATTAATCATGCGAGAACTAATATTAATTTTTTTTTTTTAATTTAAATTGAACTCATTATCAAACAATTTTTTTGCTAAAATATTTAATCCTTAAAATTCCTGAATAATTAAAAATTATTTTGATTACCTCAGCATTTTAAAGATATTCCATCAATTGCAATTGATTCACCTAAAAAAACAACAAATAAAGCTAATATTATTGTTTGAAATTTTAATTATCTTTATACAAATACTCATCATATTTTTAAAGTGACTGATAAAAATGGATTTAATTAAAACCACTTCATTTGTATTAAAAAATTAATATTAAAGCCTTAATCATACATTATACAAGAGTATTTTGTAATACAATCTAAATAGTTGTTGCGATATGTAATTTTTTTATCCAAAATTTAGCTTCTGTAAGCTTTAGAAATTTTTTAAAGAAATTATTGATGAATTTGGAGCTACGGGTACTAATGTTTTTATATTGTTGTAATGTTTGTATTCATTCCCTGTTAGTTTCTGTAAGTCAAAATTTTAAGGTGTTTCCATAATAAATTCTGTTATATCTGAAATTTAGTGTTAGTCTGAATAATTTAATTTCTAAAATCTGTTTTGCATTGCCTATCTTATAACATCTTTACTTGGAACAAAAACCATGTGGTTTAAAAGTGAGCTAGAAGCTTTCAACAATGAAGAAAATATTGCATTCACTAATCCAAAAAATATATTAAACCTGTCAGCAAAATCAGCTGTCAATAATCCAAGTATTAGCATCATGTAAAATTCATCTTTGCTGCATTACATTTATTTTGGTCCAAGTAGTTAAGTATTTTTTTAAATTTCAAAAAACAGAAGTAAATGTTTTTTTAATATCACTTTATCTCTTTTGATTAATGGTGATACTGCACTAACTGATGAAACACATTGACAGATGTAAGGCCAGTATAAAAGTCGCAAGATCTATTATTTTTAAAACAAATGTTTGTATACGAGTAAATTGCAATAACACGATTTGTTTGGATTATGTTTATATACAAGGTTGTCTGTTTTCATAGTAATAACTGATGTGGTTGAAGTTAATTTTTCAAATAAATCTTTATTTTTTTATTTCGTGCTGAAGTTCTTTTTTAAAGTTATCAATTTTCTTTTTTAATTCTTGATGCTCTATTAAAAAACAACGCTTAGCATTAAATTCAACATAATTTAATGGATCATTTTTTGAAAAAGCTGTATTATATTTACATTTAATAATATCAGTCTTTGAGCATTGTAGCCCAAGTTAAACGAAAAATATCGATTTTTAAACGATAATGTTCTTTTCAGGAAAATCGTCTGAACATGTTTTCGATCTCTTGAGAATTCTATATGATATAAGTTCAGTATTTACATTTTTTTTCCATTATAAGTCTCTATAACTTTAATCGTTGAAATAATGTTTACGATTTTACTTCCATTTCTGCGCGCGCATAAATTTTATATCGTTCTTTTTGTCAACAATGATTGAAGTAATGACGTCGAAATAACGTTAAATAATCAACGCTTCAACCGAATTTCAACGTTGAAACAACGTAATAATGCCGGCTGGGTATTGTCTTGGTTCAGCAGTAAAAGACATTAAACGGTGTGGTCTAATAAACTATACCTTAGCTTTTGGTTTAGTAAAATTTAGGGTGTTATCTGGAAGGTAGCACTTTATTCACCGTATTCAGAAAACACTGCTAAATACAGTGATACAATAAGTATGATATGATAAGATAAAGTGCATTAATGCTTTTTGCTTTTGAATAATTTCTCAAATGCTGGTAAATTTTTGTTATGAGTTTCAAGTCTAATAGAAGTGCTAGACCTTCATTTGCATTTTAAAAAACTGGCAATAATGTCTGTTACAAGCTTTTCATGTGTATTCTTACCTTTGGTTGGTTTGACAGTGTATTATCTTTTTCAAATCTTTGCAGCGTCTGAGCGCTTTGAAAATCAAATACTCATTTGTGTAGCAAATGATAAACTGCCACAACTGAACTTTGTACAAAACTCTTTAGTTCTCCTTCTTTTTGCCTATCTGATAATGTTTCAAAATTTTTGGAAGATTGACCTGTTAATTTATTCAAAGTTGCACGTTTTGTATCTATCTGAAAATTTACTGCTGTATTTAACCTACTTTTGTTTAATTAAAAAAAAAATTTGCAATCGAACTACTTCCTTATATTTGGTTTCAAACTTTGTGAATAAAAAAGAAATGGTAATTTTCATGTCATCGGGAATCATACTCTAATCTTTCACTGATACATACAAAAACACTCTAGTCTTTCAATGACTTTTCCAAATGTTCTAAGATCTCTTGAAAATATTCTTTATTCATAAGAAATATCTCGTTCCTCGAAAGTCTGTTTCAGAGTCAGCTTTACGGCTTCTTATTTTTTTTTTTTTTTTTTTGACTTAGGGGGTGTTACTAAAACATTTATAACTTTTGAAATAATAGAAATAATTTTGTTTTGTAAAAGAAATAAAAATAACAATAAAATGTTTTATCATACGACATTTAATACGATAGTAAAAAAACTTCTTTTAGTTTATAAAAAGCGCGACAAATGATGAACTTGGTTAAATTTTAGTAATTTGCTGTTACTTTTTATCAAAAAAAAATCAGAAAGATATATTTCTGATAGTTATTATCAAATACACTCATTGTTTATCTATTATTAAAATAAATTTTTTTTACTTAATTGTTAAAAGTAAACTGAAACAGTCTTTATTAAAGTCTGCAAGCAAACCGCATTTTTTGCAAAATTATGAAAAATGTTGTTAAAGGGGGGATAAGCTGTTAAATGAGCACGTTTTTAAATCTAGAAGTTCTTGTTTTAGAAAATAATTCACTAAGTTGATAAATTCAATGCATTATAAAATAAAACCAGATCTCAATTTTGAAATATTTAGTCTTAACATTTTAAGCTAAAGCCTTTAATAAACTTAAGCAATTCTTTTCTATGCATACAGTTTTAATAATATGGTGTTAGGTTGTTAATAAATAAAGACTCAAATAAAATAATTCACGACCAAAACTAAGTTAAAGTTTTTGAATTAACCTCGCTTTTGGTAATAGAATTATTTATGGCACTTGAATCAATCTTTTCTCACAAAAAATAAAACGTTTCTTTAAATATACAAATAGCTAATTTAAATTGTTTGATAATGTGTTTTTATTCTCATAAAAAACTGTTTTATAATGAGTTGATCCACTAATCAGTTCTTTAAGTAGAAAACAATCTTTGAACATCCAGTTGATATTAGATTTATGCACCATTTTAATGAAAAAACCGCACAACTTTGTTTTTTATACTTCAAAATTCATCTCGCTAAGAAAGTTTTTGTTAAATATACGTTTTTGTTTTGTTTCTACTTTTGTTTGTTGCTTGACAAATTATATTAACGGATTACGCATTTTTTATGATATTTTATTGAAATTTTTATTTTATATGTCATATTACGATATTTTAATTAAATCTTGTTGAAGGGGTTCTATAAAAAGATTGCGATGACGTTCATCGCAATCTTTTTATAGAAACATTTTCTTTTTATTCTTAAAGCAAAATGTTATTCCAAATCAGTTTTATATGGTGATTTGGTAAGTATAAGTGTTTTTCCCTTTCGACATTATTTTCAAAATTGCTGAGTGTATGCAGTTATACCTCCTATGCGTCTATGCAGTTTTGCCCCTAGAGGACAGTTTTTAGTAAAAGTTTTTAGTGACCTTGAGAAGACAGTTTTTAGTAAAAAATTGGTTGCTTGTTTATTAGACTATGTTGATATCACAAATGGTTTTCACTTCGAAGACATGATACATTTTTAGCCCTGCCGGATGCACAAACGACTAACAAAGAAGCCTTCGACCTGAATTATAATGTACAAAAAAAAAAAAAAAAAACCAGAAGGTTAAGAGGCACGCCTCTTCCCCCCTGCACTTTTTTTAGAAATTGTAGATTGTGCCCCTCCACTTCGAATATAGTAATAATAATAATTTTAGAGAAACTGTCAAGAATCAATTATTTTTTACGCTCACTACGTGACGAAGAGTCTACCTTATCAGACAAAGTACCTTCATGAACAATTGCTCGTCGTTTGTTTGTGGATTTTGTTATGCTTTTGTGGATATCGTGCCGATTTCTCGTAAAGTATTCCTTGACTCTTTTTAAAGTGTCGTTTCATGATTGAGGTCGCTCGTTGTTAAATACAGTTTAATAGGTGCTTTTTGACAAAAACAAAAATAATCAAATGATTGGTTACATGATTTTTTTCTTACGGGTTTCATTCGTTGCAAAAAGTGTTTTTAATATTATCTCGTTGCATAAAAGAGGCCAAATAAAAAAATTACCAACTATTAAAAATTTTAATTTAAAATAAGTCATAGCTCATAGTAGTTTTTTTTTTTATTTTTATTCATTAATAAAATTCCAAATTCAATTGAATAATAAAAGTTAAACTTTATTTTTAAGTATGTAAAAAAAATAATAGTTCTATATGTGATAGAGTTCATGTTAACATGATGCAGGTTCTAATATTTTAAAACATTAAGTCAAAATTATTAATTATAAAACAATAATGATATGGCATAGAGTCATATAAATAATAGTAATGACTTTTATCAAACGAGACTACTAAATGGCGTAGTTCCGGTTTTGTTCTTAAAAACTAAAAGGTGTCTTTAGCCTAAAGGCACATTTTAGTTTTTAGGAACCGAAGCCGAAACTGCACTGATATTTCAATTGGCCTAAAGACCTTTTAGCTAATATCAGTGCAGTTCCGGCTTTTTGAAGCTAATTGGCCTAAGTTTTTATGCTAATTGGCTCATTACACTTATCCTCTAAAATTTGCCCTAAACTTATTGTCTCTAACAATTATCTTTGATACCAAGTTATAGGCATTTAGATAAGACTTGACTAAGTTATAACAAATTAAGTGTAAACTCAATTTTAAAATAAAAACCTCATAACATTTTAAGGGATTGTTCAGTTTTAATTTATTTTGTGTAACGACCTGTGCATTAAAAAATTTTATAATTTTTTTTTATAAAGAGATTATAACTAATAAGAACATAAAATTAATGTATATAAAAAGAGTTTATATTCAAAATTTTTATATTTTTAGGTGATCTTTTATGATAAAATAAGAGCTTCATAACCATGCTAAAGGTTGAAGAATATTTTTCCCAATAAGTATAATAATAAGTATGTTAATAACACACTTATTATTATTTTTCAGAAGGCATAACATTGTTAGAAGGCATAACATTGTTAGAAGGCATAACATTGTTAGAAGGCATAACATAGTTATGTTATTTTCAGAAGGCATAACATTATTATGCCTTCTGAAAGGCATAGCATCAACTAAAGTTATTGTTTTTTTCTACTATAAATTATATATGATATTATTGATATCATATGTAATTTATGGTAGTAATTGTTAATATCATATTAATTATTTATAATAATTTTGTTAAGTAAGGTAATATTAAAAAAAAAACTATCTCCTAGTTTACTCCTCCTGATTAGAGTGCAGGATACCTTTTATTACACCTTTTAATATAGTGAAGATCAGAAAAGTACATAAGAACATAAATGTAAAAGCTAATTAATTTGATATTTATTACAACAATCATGATCACAATTGTTGTGGCCATTTAAGTTGGTTGTTTTAATTCTAGATGAAAAATGGGATAATAGCATTGTCTCATGATCATGGTCATCATCATTATCATCATTTAAATCATGACAATAATTAAAATATAACAATATTTTTTTAGGATTTATGAGTGAAAATAAAGAATTAGTTAGATCTTTTATAAATGATCTTTATATTGATTTCATCAACTCAAATAAATTTTCTAACCTTCAAAGGTATTTGGAGGTAAAGTTTTATCTTACTTTTATAAATTTTATGTAATATATTAAGTTAATTTTGCCATCTCATTTTATCTTTTTTAATTTTTTAAAAATACATAAACTTTATAGATTGACAGTATAATACTCTTTAGTAAACATCACGCTAGTGTATTGCTTTAGAGAACGAGAAAAGGGCAAGAGGCAATATCATAGCTCATCCTTTTATCTTTTTGTCAAACTAGTTTTTATATAGTAGTTATAATATAGTTTGTTATGGTTTTTAATTATTTTATAAGTTTAGGCTGATTTGTCATGGTCTGCATCTGGAGAAGTAAAAGATGTTAAAAAACAACTTAAAATGATAATCAAAGATTCAGGTAACTTATTAATCTTTACAATTTTTTTTACAAATTTTTTATCAAGTGTTGTTTAAAAAGGAAAAATTTTTATTGTTTTTCATTTTTTAATTGTTTGAAGCCCATGATGAAAAAATAATATGATGAAAAGTTATCTTCAAAAGAAGTTACAAATCAATAGTTTCTGGCATTTTAAATTTTATCCTTTCTGAACACATAAAACTGGTGTACCTGTGGAAACAATGTCATCATGTGTCAGTGTCTCATACAATGAATATATTTTTATTTTAAATGTGCAACTGCTTGAATTTTCTAACTCAAACCTTTGATAACATGATGGTTTTTCTTTTCCTTTTGTGAGATGAAAATCTATGTGTCAAGCTGTCTGCAGCACATGTTTTCAAGTCAATCAGTGCTAGCTTCTTAAAAAATATGGCATTATATAAAATGAATGCATTAATATTGTGTTCTTGAGCAGTGTAAATGCACAGCTCAAGAACATTAAGAAACGACATCCAAAAATCAAAAAAGACATAAAGCTAAGTTTAGTTTTGAAATTCAGCACATAATATGGCTTTTTTTAATCTAACTGATCAACATCTCTCGTTCTATTTTTGTACAAAAAAATCAGCTTTAGGGCCAACTAATTTTTTTAATTTCAAACTTCGAAAAACAAAACTGTTTGGTTCTCTAAACAAAATTTCTCAAAGTCAGATATATCACGCTTTATAATTGAACTGCAAATCATGCCATGTTACACTTCACCAGAAATATGTGTCGATAATTATGCAGAACAAATAAAAACTAGCGTAACAACTATCCTTGATAGATTTGCACCAATCTAGAATTATGCAAAAAGACTTAGTTTGCACAATGATAAATGGTTATCAGCAGATGCTAAGAAAAGTAAAAGCAGGCGTCGAAAACTAGAACGTTGTTACAAAAAAAGTGGCTCATTGGTAGACAAAAAACTCTATCGAAATGCATGTCATGAGTTATCTGCAGCAATCAACATGTCTAGACGTACTTACTTTAAACAAAAGCTAAATTCAGCTTAGGGGACGTCCTTTAATGTCAACACTTGGTACAGTTACACCTGAAGATGTCTCTGAAATAATCAAAAATCTCAAACTCAAGACATCACCACTCAATTTTATTCCTACTGACATCCTAAAATCTTGTGCTGAAGTTTTTATTCCAATTATTGCTCACCTAGCTAATTTATTATTTAATTCTGGAATTTACCCAGCCTCATACAACATTGCCCAAATAATACTAATTCCCAAAAACCCAGATCTAACAGATTTTGATCCTACCAATCTACACCCTTAAATTTAAATATGAAACACAATTTTTATTCTCAGGTGCATTTCTTGCTGCATCAAGTTTGGTAAAAATTTCTTGGTATTACCTTAGATTCAACACTCTCTATGGACCAGCGCATAAAGAATATTATAAAATCATGCAACTACCATATTCGCGCACTTCATTATATTTGTCCATTTCTTACCAAAAGTGCTGCAAAAATAATTGCCTCTACAATTGGAATTGTAAACTCTCAACTTGTTTACAGTAACTGTCTTCTATCTAGAACTTCTCAAAAAAATCTAAACAAACTTCAACGTATTCAAAATAAGTTAGCTCGTGTTGTTTGTCACTTTCCTTTCCGTTCACAATCTGAAAATTTGCTTCAATCGCTCCATTGGTTACCTATACGTCAAAGAATAATTTACAAAATGTTTGTCATAATTTATAAAACTATATCAATCAAGTCTCCTGCATACCTTTTCGATCTATTAAAAATTCAAACCTCCCAGCTCCACAACACAAGATCGTCAGACAATTGCCAACTTGTATGTCGTTGAGCAACAACATCGTTTGGTACAAAATCTTTCTACACATCTGCACCATGAACTTGGAACATTTTAAGTAAAAAAATGGGTGACGCAACGTCATTAGAAACATTTAAAAAAAGACTAAAAACGAACTTTTCAAAGCTACCAACTCAACCTAAACAATGCTTGTTTATTAGTGCTTCTGAATCACTTCATTATATTAATGATTATTGTCAAACTATGGCACTTAAATCTCTAATTAATATTATTATTATTATTTTTATTATAATAATAATAATAATAATAATATATATATATATATATATATATATATATATATATATATATATATATATATATATATATACATATTTATAAATATACAGTGGGTGGCCAAATTATTAGGTACACTTAACTTTAATAATTTTAAAGTTTAAATGAGTTTTGCAAACAAGTAAATCGTTTTTAAATAATTTTTTATCTGCATTTTTGTTACTGATATCATTTTTATTGTTTTTAAATTAAAGTAATACTGTCAGTCCACTTTATTTGTCAAAAAGTTAGGGTATTACTCAATTAGCTGTCAATTGTTGAAAAGTGTGGTTGGAGTAAGTTTAAAACTGATTTCAATTATTTGATTTTGGAACAACTTTTTGAAAGTTTTATGTTCTGGACTCTTAAAACCTAAGTATTGGTCAATAATTAAATTATTTATGGTAAGTAATTCGTTATTTTTGCTAATTTTAGTCCACAAATCCTGATTTGTATCTGGACAAGTCTTTAGACAACCCTAAGAAAATGTAAGGAAGAAAAAACCTTACTTCTTTATTCTACACATTCTCACAGAGAGATAGCAGCGATTTCAAGTGTTTCAAAGTCAGTAGTAAACCAAAACAAAAGAAAAATTTATACAAATATGCCTTTAGAACCAGACCGTATCAGCAAAAGTGGCAGAAAAAGAGTCACTTCTCCACGTTGTGACTGTAAAATTAAGGACAATTGTCACAATGCAAAATACTGCACAGAAAGCCTGCCCCAATTTGTGTTTTAACTTTTTTTTTTTTTATTTTTTTATTTGCATTCACTCCCAACAAGGCTGCAAGCAACCACTATTAAGTTGGGAGTTACTAGGAAAAAAAAGAACATAGTTATAGAGCAAGGAAACGGTTGACAGAAGACTTGAAAAGTTGAAGGTTGTATGAGTCAGGAAAACATGAAGATGGGAGAGAGTTCCAAAAGGATTGAAGTGCGGGGAAAAAAACTAGATGAATAAAAGTTTTTAGAGCATGCAGGGACAGATACAGTAAACGAATGAGACTTAGCTGAATGACGAGTAAAATGAGAATGAATTTTAGTTGATGGAACTAGAGATGATAACTCCTTTGAGCAGTGACCATGATAGTATTTGTAGAAAAGAGAAAGAGATGCAACTTTACGACGATGGGAAAGAGGTTCAAGCTTAGCAGATAGTCCAGGTCCAACAACATTTACAATGCGATTTTGGACCTTGTCAAGAAGAGAAAGTGAATCGTTAGAAGAACCAGCCCAAATATGACAACAGTATTCCATACAGGGACGAATAAGAGATTTGTAGAGGTAGAGAATGGAATCAGAAGTAAGAAAATGGCGAGCACGATAAAGAGAAGCAACCTTAGCAGAAGCTAATTTAGCAATCGATTGTATATATGGTTTCCATGAAAGGTCAGTAGTAAGCGATAATCCAAGAAGACGTAAAGAGGACGACTCAGTAAGAGGATTGCCATTTATTAATATAGGAATGTTGACCATATTACGGTCGTTGTTTGCAGTAAGCAACTGGGTTTTTTTAGAGTTGAAATTCACAAGCCACTGGGAACCCCAATCTATTACTGAAGTGAGATCGGATTCAAGATCAGCTGCTTGTTCTAGGCGATCGAAAAGAGAAGACTTTTTGTCAAGACAGGAGTATAAAGTTGAGTCATCAGCAAAAAAAGCTACTTTAGATGAAAGGTTGTCAGGAAGATTGTTTATGTAGATAAGAAACAAAACAGGGCCCAGGATGGAACCTTGGGGAACCCCAGAAGTTACTGGAAATAAAGAAGAGTGTTGGCCTTCAAGGATGACTTTAATAAATTGGTTAGAAAGAAATGATTTGATAATCTCAAAAACTTTCCCAGAAATACCATATGAAGCAAGCTTATGGAGAAGACCAGCATGCCAAACTTTGTCGAAAGCTTCAGATATGTCGAGAGCAATAGCCCTAGCCTCACCACCTCCATCTAATGCACAATAAAATTTTTCAGTTACAGCAGTTAGCAAGTCGGCCGTAGAGCAAGAGGATCGAAAACCGTATTGATTGTCTGACAGTAGTTTATTGACTTATTTGATGAGATGTGAGGAATTTGTTGATCAAAGACTCAAAGACCTTGCTAATAACAGAAAGAAGACTGATCGGACGATAATTAGAGGGGTCAGAATTTTCTCCAGAGTTTTTGAATATTGGAACTACAGATGCCATTTTCCAACAGGCAGGAAAACAAGACTCAGTCAAACACTTGTTAAATAGTTTAGAGAGAATTGAAGAAAGTTCTGGAGAACAGTTCTGCAAGACTGTGACAGGAATGTCTGGACCACAAGCAGTAGACGAGTTTAATTGAGATATGACTTTAGCAACAGAAGCCGGAGTGATTTGAATGTCTAACAATGGGTCAACCTGTTTGACTGGAATGGAAGGAAGAGAATGTCCATAAGATTCAAGAGTGGGATTAGAAGAAAAGTTCTTTGCAAATAGTTCTGCCTTATCCTTGGGAGAGGTAATAAGATCAGTCCCATGAATGAGAGATGGAATGTTAGATCTACCCTTGTAAATAATGCTGTTGAAGATTTTCCAAAAGACTTTAGAGCCTAACTTCTGCGATAAGATGCGAGATTTAGTGAACTGAGAATAATGGAGTTTAGCATCAGAAAGCACCTTTTTACATCGATTTCTTGCAATAATAAATAGCCGTTTGTACTCAAGAGAGTTGTTCTTTTGAAAAAGATGAAAAAAATGATTACGATTAGATATAGCAGCCGCGCAAGAAGGAGAAAACCATGGAGTAGAATGAGGCTTGACTTGAAACCGACGCGAAGGAATAAAAGCTTCCATTCCAGCCTGAATCCAGGAGGTTACGTAGGAGGCGCATTTGTAAGCTGAGAGAGAAAAAA